GCAAACAAATGATAACTTACCCATATATCAACTTCGGGTCCAATATATTCACGACCTTCAAAAATTTCTGGTGCCGCATATGGCGGTGAACCGCAAAATGTTTTTAGCGTATTATCATTGGAATAAAAATTTGAAAATCCAAAATCCACTATTTTGATGTTATAATTTTTGTCCAACAATAAATTTTCAAGCTGAAATTTTTTGTTTACTTATAACAACAGTAAAAAATTTAGCAGACAACATATCGGTTTGACAATACGGTAAATAAGATATAGTATTTTTTTTTTGTTTCTTAAAAGAAAAATTATTTTGAAAAAAAAAAAACAGAGTTAAACTGAATTGAACTGAAATTTAACACTGTTAAACAGTTAAAAAACGGGTAAACTATATTATTCAACTTAACAAAACAAAACAAAGAAACAACAACAAACAGTAAACATCAAATTCAATTGTTCAGTATACGGTACTGTAAAATTTTAAAATTGTAATGTTTAGAAAAAAGACTTTTTTGAAAAAAAAAAATTAAATTCAAAAAAAAAAAATTGAAAAAATTACTGAATCATTAACGGTAAATTTTAAAAATTGTGTTTGGAAAAAACAAAATTGCAACAAAAAAAATTTTTATTTCATTTTTTTTTTCTTTTTTCACCGTTTAATACTGTTAAAAATTTTTTTGCTAACAATTTAAAAGACAAATTCTTTTTCAAAACATTACTGCATTTTTAAATAGTCAATAAAAAAACTGTGTGAAAAAAAACCCAACAGTACGGTAGCGCCAAACTTTTACTGTATTTATTTTGTTTTATATCCCATAGCGACGGTAGTCATCTGACAATCAGTAACTGTTAAAATTGCCGTTAGTTTTAAGTTTAATCTATCAAAATTTGTTTTGAATAAAGAGAAGAAACAATTTTTATGTTGGCATTTTCTGCTATTTCGATCAAACATCTTTTAAAACACATGAAAATTTTATTTTCACATACAATTCAACTATCAGTTAGAACACTCAATTTTTTGCACTTCACTAAGGTTTCCTATTGGAATCTGTATAACAGTAGAACAATCAAAAACTTGTTTACTGTTTGCTATTTAGCAAAAACAAAAAAAAAAAAAAAAAAAAGCTAAAGATTAGACTTCTAAACTAAAGTAAAATCATCGGTTTAACTGACCTTTAAATCTCGATGAACAACTCCCAAACTATGACAGTATTCAATCGCCGAAACAATTTGCCATAGCTTAACACGAGCTTCAGATTCTGGCATAATTCTGTTTCCAGGTAAAAAATCTGTAACAAAACACCACAGATTTACTCGACCAATAATTTATTCTTCTCAAATCCAATGATTAAAAGCAAAAAAGAAAAAAAAAAAGGAATAAGAAACAGAAAAGGAGACAAAAAACAGATAAATAAATTAATTGTAAAATAGACAATATAAAATATTGAAAAAAAAAATTTAAACAGCAAATGAAAATTTATTTGAGTTTTGCAATTTTCAAAAATATTATTCCATTTACTTCTTTTTTTTTCCAATTTTTATTTCTATCATTTCATTCATTTTATTAAATTTTGTTTTTCTTTCGTCTTCTTTTTTTTTTGACATTTTTTCTTTTTTTTTTT